GAGAAAGATGGCCTTTCCGAGACCATCCTTATCTGTAGAGAAGAGTCTCAACATTGGAGGAGTTGTGGGGCAATCATTATTTGGTACTCAAAAGGTTAGAAGACTGTTAAGCACCAGTCTGAAAGGGAAAGTGGCTGGATTTTAAGACTCCTCTATAGGATCTGTCTTCTGGAGAAGAAGCCAGTTTTATGGCCTGGAGAGGATGCTTTGTGTTGCTAGTGGTAATTGTTCCTCATTAACTTTGCCACAAAGCAGCTTTGGTGCTCTGTGCATAGCAGTGGATGTGGCCACTTTTTTCTAGTTAAATTCAAACTACTTTAGACCATATGGTTCCTGGGCTATAGATTTTTATTAAATTTCCTAAATCGTCCTACACTGTAAAAAAATAAACAAACAAAAACTTAAAAGAAAAATATCATGTTTTCATCTAAAAATTTCAAGGATTCTTATGCTTAAAATACAGCATCTATTTTTAGTTGATAAAGCCTTAAATAACTTTCTATTTCATACTGGAAATTCAAAAGACAAAACAGATTGATTATGTTACTTGTAACTTGCTGTGTTAGTTTGAGTAAGTTACTCAACTTATTTGTATTTTTTTGGGAGGAGAGGCAACATTATCCTGCCTCTGGAGTGTTTCTGGGACACTCAAGCATAAAAACCATCCTGGAGGGGTGAGTCAGTTAAGCATCTGACTCTTGATTTTGGCTCAGGTCATGATCTCAGGGTCCTGAGATCGAGCCCCCCACGTCCAGCTCTGCGCTCAGTCTGCTTGTCCCTCTCCCTCTGCTCCTACCCCCACTCATGCTCTCTTTCTCTACACTACATAAAATCTTAAAAAGAAAAAATCCTGGAGCACAAAGAAACTCATGGCAGAATGTTTTTCTCTGCCTTGATGACAGTGCATTGTTGAGTTTTAATTACTAATATGCTGTTCCAATGTGTCCAAATACTTCTCTTTTAGAAGAAACAGGGCTATGGGAAATGGAGTACTTAGGATGACACTAGAGAGATTTATGTTCATAACCAGGAATTAAATATGGGGCCATCTTTCTGAGATCCATAAGTAGTTTAGAATAGAGATGGAGGTGACCAAAGGAAAGAGAAGCACACAGAAATAATTAAACACCAGGACGATCAGAAGTAAAGGATATTAAGAAAATTGCTGCATTGCTAAAAAACAAAATTCAACTGAGTAAATTTTAAAAATCTTATTGGTTTTATTCAGTGATTCATGAATTGGGCAGCATCCCATCTAGCAGATAGAAAGGAGCTCTTTGAAGCTATACAAAATGAAAGACTTTTATTGGCACAAGGAAGTCATACTAGATAAAAAAAAAATGGGTTGGTTATTACAAGGTGACTTTCTCTAGGGGATGACAAGGCTCTTTAGGCAGATTACCTAGTGAGTGCTAATCAGGCGATTTCTGATTGACTGGTTCCAGACTCCATTTCTAGGAGAGCCAAAATTGTAATTAATTTAAGTCTCAGTTCGGTGAGTCACTTAGCATAAGTGACTCCATTTTGGGCCTGTTGTCTTTAACAGCACATGCACACATAGACACACACACACAAGAACAAAAAGAAAATAACCTATTTGAATCTGAGATTTAAAAGGAGAAAATTTCCATGTGGATCTGTTGATACCTTCTGCAGGAAAGAAAGGAAGATTTCCACTAGAGCTATAATTTTCTACACCTAGAGCATGTGACAAAGTTGGGACGGAAAGAGAGCTTTTTTTTTTTTTTTTTTTAAGATTTTATTTATTTATTTGAGAGAGAGAATGAGAGACAGAGAGCATGAGAGGGAGGAAGGTCAGAGGGAGAAGCAGACTCCCCGCCGAGCAGGGAGCCCGATGCGGGACTCGATCCCGGGACTCCAGGATCATGACCTGAGCCGAAGGCAGTCGCCCAACCAACTGAGCCACCCAGACGCCCATGAAAGAGAGCTTTTTATAGGCAATGTTGACAATCGTTAGTAGTTATGGTTCTATACAGTGAAATGTTGGAACTGGCTGTGGAACCTCAGATCATACAAAGCAGCTGTAGAATACCAATCTCCCAAGTGAGCAATGCCTTAGCAACAGTGCAATACAAGGCTAAGCTGATAGATTGTGGAATTGAGGTGGTGGGGATGGAGGGCATGAGAGAAATGCATAGGTGTACAATTCTGATGTATTAGATGAGCTTCCTCCCCAAGGCAACAAAATCATGCTCAGCCTGAGTGACTGAGTTATTGGAATTGTAGGTCCTCTGTACAGGGAAAGATTTATATACCCCTCCAGCAGCCCTCCCCATGCCCCTAAGCAGTTTACCTTAGTCTGAAAATGACAAAGAGTGGGTCTCAGGTTTATGACTGCTTAGTGGGGGAGGAGGCTGTTTACAATAGAATCAGAGGTTCTTACTTTCCTTGCAGTCACCAGGAGGCTGGGCTAGGCTGGGCTGGACTGAGTGATCACAATGTTAAAATGACAAGAAATGCATCTTCGAGTGCATTCAATCATAGACCTACCTATACTCATGCCAGGCATCCAGGACCTGATACTGTAGCAACTTTCTTGAAGGCTTATCAAAGCATTGCAGGCAGGATCCAGCTCATTAAGACTTTATCTATAGAAGGCGGATTAGGACAGGCTTGTCACCATCTTCCACCTGGGGATACTTGATACCTGGTTAAATAATTGTTCTAAGCCCCCTATAGCTGAAGGGAAGTCACGTCAGGTCTCTTAACCTCCGCGGGGCTCTATCCGGCACAAGGTTGACCTGCCTGCTCTTCAACCTTAAGACAAACTGGAGCCAGGCTGCTCAATACAAAACCGAACTGAAGAGTCATTGGATGTTAAAGCCGGAAGTAGGCTATGCAATTTGTATTTAGGATTACTTCATTTAGTTCGCATACATAATTTGACTCGTTTGACAGACGCAAGATTAGAGACTAGGAAAGCGAAAGCAAGCTGCTCAGGGTGAGGAGACTGCTCAGTAAAGGAGCTGGCAATCCCAAAGTTCGGGGCCGGGCCTTACAGACTACTGTCAGGAGAGCATCGCCACCCCTCTCCCCCAGAGGTCTACCTGCGAGGGATCCTTGTCCCTTAGACACCAAGCCATAGTCAGGGCTGCAGCCTTTTCCTGCTGTAAACCGCCAGCCAGAGCAGCCCCCTCACCCGGTGACTAGCAAATGCTGAGACTCCACGCACTGCTCTGTGGCGCCTATCTTGTCTTTGTTTGGAGTACTGGAAAATCTGAGAACGGGGGAGGGAGGCGTGACTTCAATATTCATATCATTTCTAAACAAACGATCTCCTAATTTGTGGCTGTTTCATGCCTGGTGACATTTCTGTAGGCAGAGCCTGCCGCGCGGCGAGCCCTTCCTTTTGCCTATCCCCACCCACCGAGTCCTCGGCCTCCCCCCACCATCCTTCCTTCGGCAGCTGAGAGAGAACAGCGGAGCAGACGAAACAGCCAGGGCCGCGGGTGGGAGGCTGTTCCCGTAGCCCGTGGCTGGCGTGGAGATTTCCCCATTCATAAAACGAACACCTCTGCTCCCTGACTTCCCGCCGGCCCCAAACCGCCCCATCCGCAGCAGGGTAGGACTGGGTCCCGGGTGCCCTGTTCCAAGGGTCAACGGGCCTAAACTGGCGCGTTTTCGCGTTTCGCCAGGGAGTCCCTTTTTAGAAATCCTACCTTGTGTCCTCACTCAGACTGTATGGACGACTGGCGTCGACCGCGGATGAGAACTCTTGGTTGAAACCAAGAGAGAAAATGGCTTGTGGTTCAATCCGTAAATAAAACCTCACCCTTTGGCTTCAGGTTGTCCGACATTTTGTGACTTGCATTTTTTGCTCTGTCATAGATTCGGGAAGCGACTGTCAAACCACGCTACCTATCCATTTGTAAACAACTGGCTTTTTAGGTCCCCTTCTTTTATGGTGGTGGGTGGGGGCGCGGGAGCGGGCACGGGGGAAGATGGCAGGGGCGGGGCAGGGCGTTGTACTAATTCAAGATGCAATCTCCATCCAAATAATAGATTATTATTAACCATGATCCTCTCCACGAAACCCTTAAAATTGCCCCTTGACTCCCCTAGCAGCAAAAGGCGAGCCCTTATTCGCTGAGCTGACGCCTCCTCGACTCCCCCCGCCCCCCACTACTCTCCGCTCTGGAAATTACAACTCCTCAGCACGCCGCGCGGAGAGGCGGCGGCGGGAGGGAGGCGGGGAGGGGATTCCCGAGCCAGCCGGGCACTCGCCCTCCGCCCGCCGGCTGCAGCGTCGCGCGACCAAGGTCAGAGGCGCCGCAGGCGCGGCAGCAGCGAACCAAGGCAGCGGGTCAGTCCTTGCAGCGGGGAAAAAGCCCCCAGGGCGCATTTGGTTCGCACCAGCAGCCACCGGGGAGGGCGGCGAGCGAAGGTCTCGGAGCCAGCCGGGCCCCGCCGAGACAGTCGCTGGAGCTGCGACCCTGCACGCCAGGTGGCGGCCACTCAGTCCGCGCGCGAGGAGCGGCGGCTCCACCGCAAGCTCTGGGCGCTGTCCGTCGCCTCGTGGTGCTGAACCCAGCTCCACGGCCAAAGGGCCTGCTCACCCGCCTTCTCACCTACTGATCGCTCTGACTGGGGCGGGGCCGGAGCAAAAGGGAGCCCCTGAGCAGCTGCCCACTGGAGACGAGGGGTTGAAACCCAACAGCCAGGGAACGGCAGCCCGGCCGCTGGTCCTGATGTGCAGAGGAGACGCGCGCTGCAGCCAGCGGCGGCGCTAGTGCTGATTCATCACCTAGAGCGCCTCACAGGCCATCGAGAGGGCAGCCGACTGGCTCCGGACTCTGGCCGCAGGTTGAAGCCGCTGGCGCAGGAGCCTCGTGGGCAGGAGGTGAGGACCCTCCCCCTTCTCTTGCCCCCAGCGGTCCTAGGGCGGTGGCCCCAGGACAGAGAGAGGGGCGTGCCCCCGGGCTGTGAAGTGGCCATGCCTGTGTAATGCCCTCGCTTGCAGCCTCTCCGGTGCTAACCACGCTTGGTCCCCTCCGCCTGTCTCCGGAGCTGTGAGCAGCTCGGCCTGCCCGCGCCGCGATGGAGGAGGAGCTGAAGTGCCCCGTGTGCGGCTCCCTGTTTCGGGAGCCCATCATCTTGCCCTGTTCTCACAACGTCTGCCTTCCTTGCGCTCGCACCATCGCCGTGCAGACACCGGACGGGGAGCAGCACCTGCCCCAGCCGCTTCTGCACTCCCGGGGCTCGGGGCTACCCGCCGGCGCCGGCGCGGCGCCCCCTCTGGACCACGACGCTGCGGCGGGCCCGGCCTGCAGCGGCGCGAGCGGGAGCGCAGCCGGCGGCCTGGGCGGCGGTGCGGGAGGTGGCGGGGACCACGCGGACAAGCTGAGCTTGTACAGTGAGACAGACAGCGGTTATGGTTCCTACACCCCCAGCCTCAAGTCCCCCAACGGGGTTCGCGTGCTGCCCATGGTGCCTGCGCCGCCTGGCTCTTCGGCCGCCGCGGCCCGGGGTGCCGCCTGCTCCTCGCTGTCCTCGTCCTCCTCAAGCTCCATCACGTGCCCGCAGTGCCACCGCAGCGCGTCCCTGGACCACCGAGGCCTGCGCGGCTTCCAGCGCAACCGGCTGCTCGAGGCCATCGTGCAACGGTACCAGCAGGGCCGCGGGGCCGTGCACGCGGCGTCCGCAGCCGCTGCAGTGGCCATCTGCCAGTTGTGCGACCGCACCCCGCCGGAGCCGGCCGCCACGCTGTGTGAGCAGTGCGACGTGCTCTACTGCGCTGCCTGCCAGCTCAAATGCCATCCATCCCGAGGACCCTTCGCTAAGCATCGCTTGGTGCAGCCGCCGCCGCCGCCCGCGCCCGCCGAGGCCGCCTCAGCATCCCCAGGCGCGGCCCAGGGCGCCCCCAGCGGAGGCGGCGGCTGCAAGAGCCCGGGGGGCGCCGGAGCGGCGGGGGGCAGCTGGGCCCGCAAGTTCCCTACGTGCCCCGAACACGAAATGGAGAGCTACAGCATGTACTGCGTGAGCTGCCGAACGCCGGTGTGCTACCTGTGCCTGGAGGAGGGCCGTCACGGCAAGCACGAGGTGAAGCCGCTGGGAGCCATGTGGAAGCAGCACAAGGTGAGCGCAGGCTGGGCAGGGCGCGGGGGCACAGGTGCAAAGAAGAGGGTGCGAGAAGGGTGCCTGGCCTCTTCCCTGGAGAGTTGGCAGAAGGCAGGAATTACTTCATTCATTCATTCATTCTTTCCCTCCTCGGTCATTTGACAAATGCTGAAATGAATCCAGTGCTCTGAACGGGGTGTTGGGAATGGGAAGGGCATGGAAAGATGACTTACTCGGCCACTCCCTCCTGAGATCGTATGATTCTATACAAAGGGCACCCAGAATGCAGAAGCAGGGCTTTTTCATTCCCCAAGTTGACTTATAAATTATCCTGAGGGCCCTTCCGGATTTATGGCATCGAGGGCCCCCTTCCTCCGGGGAAAAAGATTTTTTAAGTCCAAGTGTTCCCACCCACCTGCAGGAAAATGTCCGATGTCTCCTCGCTCTTGGTTCATCTTCCCTGAAGGCAGGAAGGATACTATCCCAGCCCTCAGTGAAAGGACACACTATTTCCTACAGAGCAGAATTCCCCTCAGCTTCCAGAGCAGAAATTTGCCTACTCTCTCAAAGCGTCTCCAGCCCTTTCTACCCCCAGAATGCCTCTCAGCCTAGAGGGAAGATATAATTCCTCGTGGGCCTTATTTGAGAATTTGGGTGTGTGCCCTTTTAAGAAGGGAGCATCATTTCCCCCCAGAGACTTTCTCTTGCTGGGACTCTGCCGCTCATGGCAGCGGGAATGTGGGGACCCTGCCGATCAAGTCATACTTTCCTCTGCAGGCTGCTGCAAGCCTTCTTCCCCAGTGACTTGCCTGGGGCTGCCACCTCCCAAGTGAAAATGGAACAGCCTCTAAGTGCCAACTCGTGGCTATCAATGTGTCCTCAGTACCTGACCCTGGGAGGGAGAATCCTCAAAATCAGGTCACATCCTTGTTCAGGTCCCCAGGCGAGAGTGGGGTCAGTTCTTCTAATGAACATTCACCTTAATTTTCTATCCAAAGGCCAAGCCACACAACTGGACTCTTTGGCACCTGAGGTCAGTGATTCTGGCCTGACAGAGTTAGAGTCCCTTGTTTGATGACCCCAACTACATCGGCAAATTTGGACACTTATCATTCAATAACCTCTTTCCAGTAAACTCTCACTCCCCAAAGAGGCAGAAGGTCTCCAAATGGCCCAACATGAACTATGTATTCTGCTTGAGGAGGAAAGACATAAGCAATTTGCCATGGTTACCTTGTATCATCCAACTGGAAATGGACAAAAAAGGTAACATAGGTGAGAAGAGAAGGGACTAATCTTTCCTATTATAGATTTGTTGTATTCAGTTACTATATAATTTCATCTGCTACAATGTGTGTGCTATTATTGTAATTTAACATTTTCAAATCAGAAAATCAGAAAAGAAATGGGGAAAACATTAGACATCCACCTTGGAGTGGGAAATTTGCAGAAGAGACATCATTTCACAAATAAAGAAAGTGATCAGTTGCCAAGACAGGAAGTGTAGGTTCACATTCAGATTTCACAAGCTGTTACCTTTCACAGCCTAGAGGCCAGAACTAATTCTAGGTGTTGCCACCTAAATCTTTAGACTCAGTGGAGAGTGGAAACCAACATGAATTGAGATGAGCATGCAATCTTAAAAGATACTAAGACTCTGGCCAGGAAAAGTGAGTTGGATAATGAGCTATGGTTTCAAGGACGAAGATTATGCAGGAAAAAAATCATTGGTCATCCTTCCCTTGGTACCCACGGCACTTTTCGAACATTTCTATCCTCAACCAACAATGCAAAGTTATGAGGAAATATTGTAAGCACGTGTGATATTTGCTCAACCGAGTGGGAAAGTTATCTGTGGGAAACAGGACTATGCAGAATCTGGTGTCTCAATTTTATACGCATTGCCACAGCTTCAGGGAACTAAGACATCCTCCCAAATTCAGAAGGAATGATGTAAGATACTTTTCAAGAATGAATAGAAGTTCTTCTGTTATCTTTTAGCAGGTGCTATTTTTCTACAGAAAGGACGATTGTTGAGTGTTTATGAGCGGCTCAACGAGGGGCTAGGGAACACATGTGGAGTGTTTGGTCTGGTTTTGTGGGCAGGTGTCTAGAACTCCACTGTGAGGGTGGCTACTTTTGAAAGAGAAACTGGAACACTCAATTTCACACTCCTACGGGGACAGTTTAAATTCTTCAGTCAAACTTAAAGCCTCTGTTGTTATTATCCAAAAATCCCAGCAGCATTGACAAAGCCTTGTGGTACTACCAGAACTAGATTTGGGACAGAAACATTTCCCTAACACTCCTGTGACTGCAGGAATCTTCATTAAAGCCCTGCTCTAATTCCTCCCAAGCGTGACTGGGGCTTGCCATCTAATTAGTGATTCTTCAGCAAAGAGACTTCTAAGTGACACTGAAATCTATTTTAAAACAAGGTTGATGATCACCTTTTGGAAAATGGTGTAAAAACTTTAGGTTTGGGCTAAACACATTTTTATGTATTTAATTTCTTATTGAAGTATAATTGGCATACGATATTCTATTAGGTTTGCATGTACATCATAGGGATTCAACATTTATATACATTGCAAACTGACCACCATGATACATCTAATTACCATCTGTCCCCATACAAAGTTAATACAATACTATTGACTGTGTTCCCCATGTGCTATACATTATATCCCCATGACTTAGTTATTTTATAACTGACAGTTTGTATCTCTTGGTCCCCTTCACTCATTTCTCACACCCCCCAAACCCCCTCCCCTCTGGCAACCATCCCTCTGTTCTTTGCATCTATGAGTCTGGGTTGTCTTTTGTTTATTTGTTCGTTTTGTTTTTTAGATTCCACTTATAAGTGAAATCATGTGGTATTTGTCTTTCTCTGACTTATTTCACTTAGCATAATACCCTCAAGGTCCATCCATGTTGTCACAAGCGGCAAGATTTCAGTCTTTTTATGGCTGAGTAGTATTCCATTGGGGTGTGTATGTGTGTGTGTGTGTGTACCACATCTTCTTTATCTGTTCATCTATTGATGGGCCCTTAGGTTGTTTCCATATGTTGGTTATTGTAACACATTTTTAGATAATTCTTCTGGAAAAGGATTAATCATTTCAAAGAAACTCTGATGTGAAAAAAACAATATGTTGTGAAAGATAGGACACAGAAGGGGAGCTCTCCAGGAGAGCTTTTGTCTTTTTGCCTTTTGATCATGGAATTCTAATTTTCCTGAAGCCAGGGGGAAAGGATCATTGTGAACTGTATCTCTCCCCTAGAGTGACACATCGCAGAATGTCAACCAGTTCATCTGTAACTCCTGCTGGGTGCAAATGGTCAACCCTGAATTAAAATGGGTAGAAATTGATTCCTGAACTGAGGTATAAAATGCTGGATAAACCCTTCTTTAGAAGTCTTTGGAGAACCCTGGAAAATAAGAGAGTATTAAAACAAAATCTCCTTGATACCCCAGGATTACTGTTCCTAATGAGTCAGCACTTGGCAAGAGCAAAGGAGGTGATAAGGCCTAGAAATCTCAGGGAAAACAGGACATCAGTTTACTCTCATGTCTTGAGGGTCTGCCAAAGGGCACTTGGCTTGTCAGCACCATGTTCCTACCTTGTTTTATAAAAAGGATAAAGCCTTTAAAGTGGCTCAGATGGTTAAGCGTCTGCCTTCGGCTCAGGTCATGATCCCAGGGTCCTGGGATCGAGCCCCGCATCGGGCTCCCTGCTTGGTGGGGAGCCTGCTTCTCCCTCTCCCTCTACGGTTCCCCCTGCTTGTG